TTGACATATTGTTCCAAACGTTTTTCAATGATTTTCAGCAGAATCTTGCTTGCATGTGATATCAATGATATTGTTCGATAATTTCCACACTCTGTTGGGTCACCTTTCTCTGGAATGGGAACAAATATCAATCTCTTCCAGTTAGTTGGCCAGCTGGCTGTCCTCCAGATTTCCTGGCACAACTTGGCAAAACCAGCCCATCTCCCATTTGCCGACTGGTTGGTGGATTTGAACCCCCAGAGAGGCACTGTCTTTGTGTTAGCAGTTCCACTCCTTATAGACTTCATCACCAGAGAAAACATCAAATTGAATGGGGATGAGGTATAACTTGAAAAATTAATTTTTTATCTTTATTTAGCTAGACCATTTGCCCAGTGAAATAATAAACTCTTCCATCCTTCATACTGAGAAAAGTCATCCCCTTAGGCTGAGTTGGCAAAGTCTGTTTTTCAGAAGAATTTAATTATTCCTATGAAATCAGTGCTTGCATCTCACTGTCTTTATAGCTACTCTCCAAATGTTCTCGCACCTTCCGTCAGCAATTAACTTTTCACCAATTCTTAATACAACAGCCTGAAATTTGATTGCTGATAAATCTTATAATTTGTAATTTAAAAGTTATTTTCACTCACCCTTCATTGAATTCTTCAAGACATGATTTCCAAATCAGATATTTATCTTTAAAATTTACATTTTAAAATTAACAACATTACTGCTTTCATCTTTCTTAGGTCCTCAGGCTTCTTCTAGAACATACCTTAAAAGTGTCTTCTGTTCCTTACCAAAATAATAGTTACATGGAAACTAAGATTTCTTCTTTTAAAGGAAATACCCACTTTTCTTCCATGGCACTGCTGGTGGATTTAAACTGCTGGAGACATACACTCTTCTGGATAACATCACAACTCACTCCACGCGTGCCACCAGGGCTCCCAATCAGACTCAGTGGCCCATGTAAACGCCAAGCAGTTTTTCTTATTGCTACTTTGGTTTTTTTCATATTCTTTATTTCCTCCACAGTTAAAGAAAGCAAGTATTATCCTTATCTAAATGATATCATTAAAAATATACTTCTTTGTCACCTCTTCTGACAACAAACTTGAGCGACCCTTTGGCTGTCTTTGCTTTCAATGTGTTAGGTTTTATTAGACGTATCTCCAAAATTCAATAAACTTTTATCCCCAAGTATTTCCCGCAAATCATACCCCACAATATTTTTCTTCAATAATATATAATATTCATGTTTGAGTCAAACCTCCAAAATCCTAATGGCAACAAAGTGGAAATATTTGCTCATGTACTGCGGTAGAATGTAAGTTGTGAACTTCCTGGACCAACTCTGAGAAACTACGAATGTCAAAGAGTGGTAAACATAGATGGCTCACTTGTTCAAAGAAGTTCTGCCCATCATAGTTACACCACCATGTTGAATGCTATGAGATGTACATAAAGTCACTGAAAATAATATGAGGAAATAAAGAGGAAATTATCAATGGAACAGTTTCTATTATTTGGTAAAATAAAAACTATATCCAAGCAGTCTCCTAATATTCATGTGAGGATTTCTCCAAAGTAGTATCTGACATTGCAAATGAAAGTAGTGAAAGAAAAGAGAAATGCGTGCCAAGTTAAATCCTTAATGATGAGAAATAAAATAGACAACCTTGCCTGCTCCAGTAGATCCAGCAACGGCCAACAGCTGTCCCCTCTCTATCTTGAAATTGATGTTCTTCAAGACAGGAGTACCAAGAAGTGAAAAGTTGCTGAAGAAGAGGCTGTTATCACCATTGGGAATTTCTCCATTGTTATTATTTTGTCTTGCTTTCTCAAATAGTTCTCCAAATCCCTGTTAAAAAAATACATAGGAAATAAAAGATAAACTTCTATGATTCCTTTGAAAAAAATAATGTCATGTGAACCATACCTTACAGTATGGAAAGTATACATCCTTTACAAAGAATGATTTTTAGAGCACAGAATTAAAACCATTTGAGAATCATACTCATGGCATTTAATGTACATATAATTTTCCTTTCTCAGATATTTTTCCATTAAAGAGTTTACACACACACACACACACACACACACATCTAGTGGCTTAGGAGTGAGGACTTACACTGCCAACCCAAAGGCACATGGTTTGAATCCATTCGTTGTTTCTCCCATGCAGGTTATTTCTCTGAAATCCTGCTGGAGGTTCAGCTATGAGTTGATTGTGACTCGATGGTACACAACAAAAGGCATATCGATATTTGTATGATAGATAACCGATGGCTGAGTGGGTAGAGACGTGCTGCCAACCTGAAGGCATCAATGGCTCCAACGAGGAGAAATGGGTCAACTGTTCACATGCAATTTACAGTCTCTGAACTGGAGGGTCAGCTATGAGTTAGTTCCAACTTGACATCAATGTCGGGAGATACACACACACACACACACACACACACACACACACACCCTTTATTCTAGGTATACAAACATTACTATTTAATCCTTATAATAATATATAGGATACATAACAGCTCTGACAAGAATCAAAATAAAAGGTCTTAGAGTGAGTAGGATAAAAATGCAGAACAAAATTCAAAACAATTTAAAAAAACCAAACTTATTATTCTTATAGAAATTAGTTTAACCTCAAGACAAGATATCCTTCAAATTTGGAAGCAAATCTACCCTTGGGGAATCTCCTTACAGTAAAAAACTAAAGGTCTTCAAAGCAAACAAACATCTGTGGGGAACACATTCCTCAGACCTACAGCAATACAAAACCCAAAGGGCAGCCTCTGTCTAAAAACCAAGTTCAGAAGACGGAATGGCAGGAAAGAGAGATGCACAAGTAGAAATAGAGCAGCCAGAGAGGAAGTGAGAAGGGAGCTATTACAGCAATAGGCTTGCACAAATTTAATAATGTCCAACAGGAAACCAATGTCACACAATTTAGATAATGTTCAATAGGAAACTAATTTGCTGTGCAAACTTTCACTCAAACCACAACAAATACTCTATCAATTTGAAGTAGACATAGTGAACCCCATCTTTAAAACTGCAGACTGACTCAGAGTAAATGATTCCTTTCACGTAACTAGGACGCCAGAGTTGGGCGATCACCTATATCTGACTTCTACTCTATCACAATGGTAACACCTTCCTCTGAAATACTCAAGTCACCTCTGTAAGTATTTAGTACTTAATATAAATGTGGCGAGATTGCAAAATTGTTTAGATGAATTATATTAAATTCGCATTGTTGTTGTTGTTAGGTGCCATAGAATCAACTACGATCCATAGTGAACCTATAAACAACAGATCCGAACCCTGTCCTTTCCAGTGTCATTCTCACACTTCCTGACACACCTTAGAGCCCATTGTGACAGTCACCGTGTCAATTCACTTGGTCCATGGATGGTGTATAATCAGTTTGCATTTAACTGCAACCGTTCAAATTCATCCAGTGATTTCACGGAAGAAAAGTTGTGGTGACAGCCAGGAATATCTATGTTGTTATTGTTACTCTCTAACAAATAGCAATTTCTTCTCTCACAGTTTGTTGTTGTTAGGTGTCATCAAGGTGACCCTGACTCATAGCAACACTATGCACAACAGATCGAACAAAGCCTTCTCCGATCCTGTGCCACCTTCACAATCTCTGTTGTGCTTAAACCCACTGTTGTGTCAATCGTCTCACTGAGGCTCTTCTCTTGTGACCCTCTGCTTTTCCCTACTTGATGGCCTTTCTCAAGGACTGTCCCCTCCTAATAACATACCCAATGTACGTAAGATAAAGATCTTGTAATCTGTGCCTCTGAAGAGCACCCTGGCTACACTTCTGTCAAGACAGATTTGTTTAAATAAATATATTTTTAATTGGTTTTCCTAAAACAATTCCTTTACATTGTGTTTCATTCATCGACATGGTATTACACATAATCCCTCATTTACATTGTTTCATATAATCATTCATATACACCATATCCATATAATTAATCACCACTGATCTGTGCCTAGAGTTGCATTGTCTTTTCAAGTCCCCATTGAACTTTTCCCATTCCTGCCCCAAATCCCCAATCCGCCCACTAAACTGTTATCCTAGTGATTTCCACCCTTTTCCTTTTTCAACTCTTTTCCCTTTACCCCTTCCCCTTTTGGACATTTATACACATCTTACTAGTAAAAATAAATAAATAAATAAATACAGATTTGTTTATTCTTTCGGGACTCCATGGTATAACCTTTACCAACAACACAATTCAAAGACATCAGTTCTATTCTGAAACATGGGATCTCCAAGAATCAGAATAGATTAAAGGAAACTACTTATGACAAAAGCAGCTAGGATGAAGGAATTCTCTTTTGAAAATTGTTTGTTAACTTTCTATTGTCGGTATGGAACGTTTTAGAGCAGTTAGTTATCTTCAAACCAAAGTTAGTAGCCCTTGTGGTATTAAGCATTACCTAGGTTGAATCTGGTGCATTTAATTTTAAAGGAATCTATTTTCAGGCCTTCAACATCCAAATATTAATTTTTATTTAAATTTATAAATAAATTTATAATTTCTTAATTATTTCATTTATTAATATTTATCTTCCATTTACCATTTCCCTTTCCCTATTTCTTCCCTCCTAATCAGTAAAAAAAAGTGCTGAGATTATAGAAACCTAGATTAAGATGTTAGCTCTGTCCTAACTAGTTGTATAAGATTATTCCACCTACTTAAACTCTCTAAGCCTCAACTTCCTAATACGTAAATAGAATGACTCTATGTAAAGGTGTGAGAGAAGAGACAGTTTCCTAATATGTAAAGGGAATTGAACTTGTATACTCATAGGTTTAGAATGAGGAAGGAATCATGTGTGAAAGTCATTGCCTCTTGGGTAGCCAGGTGAACAGTGATGCTATCAAGCAAGATATAGACTCTCTTGAAGGAGTATATGGAGGAGGGAGTATATGACATTTTCAAAGTGATAAATATGACGTTCATATAGAACATCCTAAAAACCCCATATGCATAAAGTTCAAGAAGAATCGATGTCTGAGTTGTGGTGCTGGAGAAGAGTCTTGAACATACCATGGACCACCAAAAAAACAAATAGTTCTGTCTTGTAGAAGGTGAAACAGAGTTTCTTCTTGGAGGCTAGGATTTGAAGCTCTATCTCATATACTTTGGGCACGAGGCCAGGAAGAATCAGTCCTTAGAGAAAGACATCATGCTTGGAAGGGTGGAGGGACAGCCCAAGAGTGGAAGACCCTGGATAAAATGGATTGACACACTAACTTGGGTAATGTGGACAGGTGTGTCAGAGTCAGTGAGTCTGGCTCAGGATAGGGCAGGCTTCAGAGCCGTTATACATAGGGTTGCTGTGAGTCACAGGTGACTCCATGGCACACAACAACAACACTCACAAAGTTCAAGAATGTAACTGGGGTCAGAAATTGGCTTTTCAGTATCATTAGTACATTGGTATCAATTGAGTCTGGACAAAGTCACTCAGAGACTAGGAAAAGCTTTAGAAGTTTAAGTGCGGACTTGGAGTCCCATGGCCACTAAAGTTGCAGATGGAGTAGATTTGGTCTGAGCAGTTGTAGTTTGAGAATAAAATGATCTGGAAAGAGTGGTTCACTGAAACTTAATTCACTGAAAATTAGAGAGTGGGAGACATCCATGCATGATGATGGTCTTTATTGACTCTGCCCATTGTGGAAGGCAAGGTGAACAGACACCAGGAGAGGTTGGTAAAGGGAGGTGGTGAAGGTCTGGAATGGTTTCTAAAGAAGTCATAAGGGGAATTGACTAAAGAAAATGAATGGATTTCTCAAGAAAACTACAGATTCACTTAAGGTAGTGGTTGTTATTGCTATTAGGTGCCATTATGTTGAGTACAATTCACAGTGACCCTATGAACAACAGAACCCTGTCCTGTCCTGTGCCATCCTTACCATCTCTGACACACGTGAGCCTACTGCTACAGTCACTGTGGCAATCTATCTCATTGAGGGTCTTCCTCTCTTTTACTGAACTTCTCCCTTTCCAAGCATGGTATCTCTTTCCAAGGAATAGCCTCTCCTAGCAACATGCTCAAAATATGTGTTATGAGGTTTTGCAATAACTTTGTAAATTATTACCTAACTTGGGAGGGACTGGAGAGTATTACACTGTGTGAACTAACTCAGTCCCACAAGGATAAATATTATATAAAACCATTATTATAGAATGAGTATAAAGATCCAGGAAGGGTGGGAGAGGCTTGGAAGCAGAAGGATGTGAATGTGCAGGGGGATTAATCATTGGGTTGTACAATTTGAGGGGTGGGGGGGATGAAGGAAATTGAAAGAGTTGGTTCAAATTTGTATTTGAATTTTGCAAATTAACTAGTAGAAAAATAAAAACAAAAAAAGGAAACATTGACAAAATGAATCTCTAGTAGTTGTAATTTATAAACAAATCTGATTTAAGAGACCATGAAAGATTTACAAATAGGCATTTATTTGTAATGCCTACATTTGCTCAAGAAATGTAAATTATAAGGAAATAAGAACTGAATAGGTGTTCTCAATGATCAAATGTTGCTTCCTTAAACCAAAAGTCATGCCCCTTGCTATCAAGACCCTTCTGACTCATGGTGATCCTCCATCTGGTTTCCATGACTACAGATCTTTCCCAGAAAAGACTGCCTCACCTTCCTGCCTGGAAGCAGCTGATGATGTCAAAGTGCCAACATTCTTGTTAGCAGCCCGACATGCGACCCCCTGCACCATGAAGACTCCACCACCTCCTTTTTAGTCCCATCAAGTTGGTTATGACTGACAGTGGCCCTGTGAAACTGGTCAAAATCTTGCTCTATGCTGCTCCATCCTATTGTCTCCGCCACCCTCACATCCGCTGTTGTAGTCATTGTGTTAATTCATCTCTTTAAAGGTGAAAACCCTATCAGTTGCTTCCTTGGAGCCTGAAAATTGTTGGTAATATTTTCAATTTATTTTATAAAGAATGTAAGAAGATATTTAATAGTGCATGAAAGTAAAGAAAAAGAGAAAACGATATATTGGAATATCTCAGACATGTTTCTTAACGGACTAGAATGTAATAAAGAAGACAACATTTATGAAATAAGTATGTTTACATTCATGTTGTTATTTGATGCCTTTGAGTCGTAGACGACTCACAGTGACTCTATGAACAAACGGCCTGAGCACTGTTCGTGCATAGAGTTTCCGGAGGCAAGCCATTTCAGAAGTGGACTTTTCTGAATAACTTACATGGTTTGTCTTATATAATCCTTACAATAAGTTTGCAGGATAAATGTCAGTATCTCCCATTTTATAGATGGGGAGTTAAAGGCTCTACAAAGATAGATAGCCTGATTAGTATTATATAAATACCCAGGATCCAAACCTAATTCTGACACCAAAATCAATGATCTTTCTATTCTTCCCTAAACTATGTGAAACTAATTGCTTGACATGGGGGAGGGAGGAGGGAGAGATTTTTATAGTGTATTTAATATTTCCAGGTCTCTATTTCATAATTTATAATTTATAAACTAAATAAAATGGTTCTCTTCCCACCTCAACCAGATATATTTCTGGCTTTACTATCCATAACAGGTTCCCAAAGAATTTGTCTACACGTTTAGAGTGAAAAAAATTTTTTTTAAGATTCTAACCTCGTCCCAGAAGGCGGTTACATTCTCCATAATTACAGCTGTCGTTGTTAAGTTGTACTCCAATGTCTTATACTCTTGCTTTTGTAAGAAATCCTATTTAAAGAGAGAAAAAAAAACCACACACAATATGAAAACCAGAATAATAAGAGTACTAACTTGTCACATTTATTTTACTTTATGAGAGTACTTCTCCTTACATTTTAATACAATGAATTAAACTTAAAACTATATTTTAATAAAATAATTTTAAGGACTTTGAAATTAATTTGCAAAGCGCTAGGATTCATCATGTTTTAAATACCTTCTTGAAATATAATGTTTTATTAAGCTGTTTTTGTACATTCTATTTTAACATACAACGGACTCTTGCACTAACACTTTCTTGCCACTATTATACCTGAGTGACGACTTTTAAAAGCACCTGGATCACCCACTGATGTCACAGAGATCATGGGTGCCTTCTTCTTTATTGGGGCCCCACTACGGCACCAATGGCATCACTTCTCTGGGTCAAGTAGAAGTGTGGAAATCTGATGCAACTGGCTTAAAGCATCAAACCATAATTGTACGGGAAAAGTCTTTGTTAGGTAGTCTGACCCACAGGAAATTTTTAGGAAAAGTGGAAACCAGATGCATGCTGAAAACTTCACCTTAGGAGGTAACAGACAATAGCTCACAGGCCTTGTCTCACGGGTTTCTTTTCTTCTCTAGTCTTAGCTCTATTTTGGTTTCCCTCATTTTCTCTCAGCTTTACTTTTTTTAAAAAAATGTTATTTTATTAATTTTAATGAACATTTACAGAGATTTTGGATTTTCATTCATTCATTGTTGCACTTTTTTCTTTACCCTCCTCCCCCCAGTTCGCTCCTCTCTTTGAAAAGCAAAAGAGAAACTTTACTTTTAAGATCTGCTTCTCAATATTTCTATTCAGTCATCCTCGCTACCTGGGATACTGTCTCTGGCTTGTTTCTGTTGTACAGCTGTCTCTAATTACGCTTACATATGGCTATGATTGGGTTAAGGGTGAAAATAAAATTATTTCAAGAGCTACTATGTTTCTGAGCTATAGTCATTTATTTGTGTAAATCACGGATTTCAAACCTCCGTATTTTCAGAGTTCCAGCAGGTCACATAATTGAGGAAAGGGGCTGAGTGAAGGCTGGTATGAACTGAGGAGAAGAATCCCCCTGAAGAGGTGGCTGCCTCAGCAGAAAAGGAGGTCACAGTGTATCTAGACGCTAATTCTTCAAAAAAGGCTGAATATAAAATTCTTGTATATTCATACTTTATATTCATATAAATTAGCAATGAAATGTGTCCTAATTTTCTTAATGCTGGCAACTAATTCAAATGTTTGAAAATATACAAGTATATGTGAGCACATGTAGCATTTTTAATCTCTGGACCTGATGCAGTAATAGGAGAGCCAATTAAAAGGGGTTCAGCTCCAGCCTCATTTTTAAGTATGAATTGGTGATATATTTTCTGGGTTAGATATTTAAGTCGTTTTCAAAAAAGCATAATAAAGTCATAACCACAGTCATGTTCATGGTAGTGATTCAGTTAGCTTTGTACAAATGAGTCTCTTCACCTTGGGTTTCTAGGACTTCTCAAAGTTGGTGGCAACATAGGCATTGCTGGGATTTGATGGTAATTAATGTGGCATAAAATGTCATTCTCATCTATCATGCTATTCATGCTTTGAAAGATCCAAAGTGAATGTCTGTCGTATTAGCTAGAAAGTTTTAAAACTTTATGGCAAATCTGTTGGGGGTTTGGGTTGTTATTTTTGTACATTTGCCAGGTTTACTAGAACCAATATCTGGGATAATTAGGGGTCACTTGATGATTCAAATCCACCCACCAAACAGCTCTTTCTGAGGGAGAAAGATGGGAAGTTCCCTATAAAGATTTACAGCCTCAGAAATCCAATGGAGAATCACTGTGATTTGGACTCACAGTTTGAAAGTAGTGGTTTTGCTCATTTGGGGTGTTGTAAGTGGTTATCTGGGAGCTTAAGTGGCATGGTCTGTAGGGAGTTGTGCTGCTAACCCAAGGCTGTGTTTCTCTGGCAGTTCAAATCCACCAGAGGTTTCTCAGGAAAGAGACAATCTCCTTCTGAGGGATCCACTCTGAGTCACTTCCAAGCCCACAGCCTTGAGAGCAAGAGAGACCACAATCAGACATCAAGGGAGCAAATCCTGTATTTCCCTGTGCAGGCCTGAGACCTAGACCTCATCTCTAGAGTCTGTCCACTGTAGCTGTTCTGAGCTACTGTAAAGCCTTGCATGGGATGCACAGCTATGACACATTACCTGTATTTTGTTGATGGCTCCCAGCGAGTCGTACCACGTTTGCACAGCCCAGGGGAACTGCCTCGTGACAGCCATGCGCAGAACGATGCAGAACGAGATGGTGGTGAATATTCTTCGAAGACCGATCCCTTTGAGCAGTGCATAAGGCAGCACAGACAGAAAGACCACAAAAAACCCTGAGAAGAAGAAGGCTGAGCTGTTGAAGTACCTCACATAGGATGCCTTCCGGGTCAGGCTCAGCTCTATTCTAAGAAAAAATAAACAAGTAAGATCCGGGCTGCTAACTGTTCAAACATCAAGCATCTTGGAGGATCTGAGCAGGGGTGGGAGGCCTGTGCTCCCTGCATCTAGTCTTAACGTTCTTCCCACGTAAACTGTGTGACGTTGGTTCAACAATGCCACCTCTCTGGGCCTTAGCATATCAGAAAAAAGGGGGCAGTAACACTTAATGAGATAGCAACACTTAACAATAAGCCTGTGGACTACCAACCCACAGGTACATAGTTCAAATCTACCAGTTGCTCCACAGGAGAAAGATGGGCAATCTCTTCATGTGATTTACAGTCTCTGAAAACCTATTAGAATATCAGCTACAAGTTGGTTTTGACTTGACAGTACATGACCACAGCAGACCCACTAGTCTCTTAGACATATCTGAATATTGTATCTTTGTTGTTGTTTTTGTTTATTGTTGTCAAGTTGAGCATGACTTATAGCAACCCTGTAAACAAAAGACCTAACCCTTTTCTATAGCTCTTATCACTTCTCAAAGTTCATTGAGGCATATTGTTTAGGAAGTGGATGTCATTCCTGCTAAATTATTATTGTTAAAATTCCAGATATTATCAACATTTTTTGTTGTGTACTGTTGAGTCAGAACCGACCCATAGCTGACCCTCCAGTGGGTTTTCAAAGGCAGTTAATTGCACAGGAAGGTATTGGCTATCCTTCTCCCATGGATTCAAACCACATGCCTTCAGGATTGCAGCACAGTGTCTTATCGCTCCCTTTTATCAACACTACTATTCCAATATTTTTATGTCCTTATTCACTTCACTATTATTTTTTAAGCTTTATGACATGGATAATTTTTGTTGCTTTGGTGGTGTCTTAAGAGTGAAAATGAGGACAATTTTGCAAACGAAGCAGATCATTAACAATGGTGTCCAAAGCATCACCAAGCAATTGAAACCTAAGATCATCCTGTAAACAGCTGAGAGCAAAAGTTATATGCTCCTCAGGAAATGTAACCCTCAGCATAGGTACAAGTCATCTGAGAAATGTGTTTAAATATAGACTGCCAAGTCCATTTTCCAGAGACTGATCAAGTCAGGCCACAGGAAAAGTTCCAGAATCTTGGTTTTGTTTATTTGTTTGTTTATAAAGGATCCAAATGATTGTTTGACAGGTGGTTCCTGTAAAGTTAGGAGAATACATGTGCTCTCCTTTCTCGCTCACATTTTCTGTAACTATTTGCAGTTGTATTTTAGTTTAATCATCTAGTATGAATGACAAATAGGAACTTTTGTTTCCTTTCACATAAACATGGTGGTGGTGTTTGGTGCCACTGAGTCCATTTTCAATTAAGAATGACTCATTGTGACAGAGTTGAATGTCCCATAGGGTTTTCTAGGATGGCCCCTTATAGGTCAAAGTTCCTCACAGGGTCCATAGTCAACTTGATGGCACCTCATAATAACAGTTCTTTACAGAGTATAGAAGAGGCCAGTCTTGAGAAAGACATCAAGCTAGAAAAGGCAGAGGGTGAGAGCAAGAGAAGAAGACTCTCACCACGATGGATTGACACCATGACTGAAATAAGACTCAAGCATTTTAGAGATTCTGAGGACGGTTTGAGAAAGGGCAAGGTTTAGATCTGCTGTTCAAAGGGGTGGGAGCTTTTACTATTTATGAGTCATAGTCAATTCAATGGCATCTAACAAAAACAACTCTTTACAGCAAAGAGCCCCAGTGGCATAGCACATTAGGTGTGTTACATGTTGGGCAGCTAACCAAAAGGATAAAGGTTTGAATCCACCAGCAGCTCTATAGCACCAAAAGGAAGCAAATTCTTCTTATAAAAAGGAGATGATTACAGTCTTGTCAACCTTAAGGCAAGTGCTCATGAGGCAGAATTGATTTGATGGCAGGAGATAATTGTTGTTGTTGTTGTTGTTATTGTTATGTGTCGTTGAGTCACTTGAGACTCATAGCGACCCTATGTGCAAGAGCCCTAAACCCTGCTCTATACTCATTGTCTGCAACATACCTACTCCCACCACCCTAATCACAGAATTGATCCATCTCATTGAGGGTCTTCCTCTCCTATGCTGTTCCTCCACTTTCCCAAACGTGATGTCCCTCTCCAAGGACTGGTCCCTCCTTACAACATGTCCAAAGTATGTCAGATGAAGTTTCAGAATCCTTGACTCCAAGGAGCATTCTGGCTTCACCCTCTCCTCTGTTTGTTCTCCTAGCAGTCCATGGTATACTCAACACTCTTCTTCAGCACCACAGCTCAAAGCCATCAATTCTCTATCATCCCTAGTCACTGTCCAGCTCTCCTATGTGTAGCATGCAATTGTGAACACTATAGCCTGGATCAGACACACCTTAGTCTCCAGCCTGACTTCGTTGGCTGCGAGGCAGCTGCTGCTGGGCCTTGCTTGATGTAGTGCAGGGAAACAGCAGGCACCAGGTCCACAAAACAGCATTTTCATGCTCAAATGCAAAGGTCAAGGGAAACCTTTTTGTTCAAAATATTTTTAAGAAAATAACACTGAACATATCCTCATGTGTTTGTTGGTCATTCATATGCCCTCGTTTGTGAAAAGACTGCTCGTGTCTTGTGCCTACTTTGTGATTGGGTCATCAGTCATTTTCTTGTGGAGGTTCTGCTGTTCTTTTATTGTTGTTAGGTGCCATTGAATCATATTCTGTAAACTTTAGTTCTGAGACTGGTGTCTGAAATGTTGCCAATGTTTTCTTTTCCCAGTCTGTGGGTGTTTTTCTTTTTTTCACCTTATTGATAAAGGTTTTGATGCACACATGGCTTTAATTTTGAGGCAGTTTCTTGTGTCGATTTTATCCTCTTTTGCTTGCTAATAGTGAGCACGTTGATGAGGTAAGTGGATTTCAATCTGCCTAACAAGCCTGTGACTCAAGGTCTAATGTTTGCCTATTTCAGTTTGTGATGAGAGAGCTTTGGACTCTAACTTGGGTTTGAAATCTGACCTGTTCTGAAGATGTTACCATCTTCAGTGAATTATTCTTCCCTTTGATGTTATAGATAGAATTTGCATTAATAATAAGTATTGTTGTTGCTGCTATGTACCTGGGTCGGAATCAACCAGGTCTGAAGTGCCAGTGAGTTTTCAGAGGCAATAAATTGTACAGGAGGAGATTGCCCACATTTCTCCGAAAGTGCAGCTTGTGAATTCAAACTTAAATTCAACACGTCCATTTCAAAGTTGTTGTCAGAATTAAATAACATTGCATCAGAGGTCCTTTATTAGAATCTATAATGGGTGTCTTTTCTCCTCAATAGAAAAAAGAATACAATTGACTGTTGTTGATAGGTACCATTGAATTGGTTCCAACTCATGTCTGCCCTGCATAAAGAAGAAAACACTGCCCCATCATTTGCCTTCTCACAGTCTCAGTTTTGCTTAATCCCATTGATACAGCCATAGTGTCAATCTACTTTTGAAGGTCTTTCTTAATTTTGCTAACTCTACATTTCCAAGTATAATGTCGTTCTCCAGGGACTAGTCCACCCTGAAATGACAGCATTGACTCATTTCTAACAAGTTGTAACCAACTTCTAGTTGACCCTCGAGTGGGTTTCCAGATGCTGAAAACAGCACTGGAGGAGACTGCTTATCTACCAAAGAGAAGGTGGTGAATCTGAACTGCCTTCTGGCTAGCAGCGTAAATCCCTTCCTACTAGGCCACCAGAGCTCTGGTAAGGTGAATATTTAAAATGCTAGAAAATGCCATTTTACAAAAATAATGTTACAAAACTTGTCAAAATTCTTACGGACATAGACTTTGATAACAACAAAAAAAAATCAATGACCATTTAGAAAAGACAAATAGGAGGGCCTGGAAATTGAACAAGAACATTTACAGAAAGCATCCAGAAAGTTGTTCTCTCCATAATAAAGTTACTAACGCATTAGGAGCCATAAAAACACTTTTATCAGTTTCTTATTTAAAAAAAAAGTGAATTTATTACCAAAGGGCAATAAAAGAACAGATTTGCAGAGAGTTTTGTGCAGCCCTTTGCCCAGTTCACCAGCAGCTCAGGCCAAAGAAACTGCTCTGTTGAAATGCATCCTGACAATCTCTTCTAGAACATTATATTTGCTCTATTGAGGAGAAGCAATTCTTATTTTCCCATATTTATGTCAGCACTTTGCAGTCTTTTCAGTTAACAATTTCATGCCAGATTAAGGAACCAGCTTAAACAAGTTATAACTAAACATTTTCTACAAGAATTGGTCATACTGAAAAAACAGTGGAAAGGATGGATTTCATATTTTGAGGAAGAGAGAGAGAAATCTTCAAATCAAAGCAAGCCATCACCAAGATGACCTGGTCATGAATTTACAGTGAGGCCTGAAAGAACTGGATTGTCTAATAACCACCTCAGGGTTCCAAGAGGATACTCATAGGGTTAAGACTGGCCAAAGAGAGACATGTCATTGGACACTTCCTGTTAATGAAAATAACATAACAGTGTCTACCAATTAAACAATCCCTCACCATCATAAAGGATGTTCTGAAAAGAAAAATGCCATTCCTTTCCTGGATTTGCCATGAAAGGCATAACAAAAGCAGGTGGCCAAGATGCATGTTTAGGAAATAAATACTCTTTTAGTCTTTCTATTTACATGGCAAAGGACTTAACATTTCAGCAGTCCTTTTGTTATTGCAATCACACACCTGCATCTCTGTTACCATCATCTCTTGGAGCCAACAGCCTGAATTCCTGACAACAAGTATGCACATTATCCTAGCAAGCACTCTTAGTTCAGAATATATTCCCATCTCATTCTAAGTATCCTAAAATTATGCCTTTAACAGACTTCCTTAAAGGATATGTCTACTGACTCTGAATCTCCTAGAATCTTTGATTGTGATTTCTAAAGCATAGTATGACTAAAGAAGAAATGGTTTCATGACTATAGAAATAATCAGCCTTAAATTTTACCCAAGTTTAGCTTAGTAACCATTTCTTAGGCTGTGCTGTATTCTTTGTTTCCTTTCTTTATTTCCCCCCCCCCTTTAAACGGAACATAAGCATGACTAATCAGTGACAGTGAGGTTATCTGAGGTTCATTATGAGGCGGCTTTGATTACTTGTGGCCACAGATCGGTGCTTGAAGTGTTCATAGGAACACAATTTATGGGTTATTTTAAGAAAATGCATTTTAACCAAAGGGAGGAATTTCCCCCAATTTGTCATGGTTAGCAACATAATGAAATGCAGTAATTAGAGAGTTGTTTACTTAGTACAGAAGCATACTTATTCTGCCTGTTCAAGTTTCAGTATACAGCATCCTGCTCTTTATTTAATCAAATAAAGTCACTTATGTAGCTATCCAAACATGCAGGCGATTCTCGTAATGCAAATAAGTCCGCTGCACTATCCCATTTTTAAATGAAGACTATTTATACTGAAATCATCGTAAGGACTTACTCTCTTAGGTTTTCAATCATTTTTTCCATGGCTTCCTCCCAGCAATATGCTTTCACAGACTGGATATTCTCAATTGTTTCCGAGGTGATAACCAATCTTTCATTGATCTTTCCCGCTCTCTTATCTCTGTAAAGGAATGGATAAATGTAATACTTGGTAAATTCAGGCCAAATTATTCATGAAAATTGATCATTTTAAGAAAAAAATCACACTTATAGTTAAGTAGATTACTATAATTTCACTATCAAACAGATGGGAACAAAAATAATAGCTACCAATTAGTCAATGCCTCCTCTGTGCCAGACACTGTCACAGTCTTGATGGGATCGTATTAATAAATTCAAAGTTGTTCAAATATCAGTTAGATATCAGTATAGTTAGAAAACTGACATCCATTTTCTCTATGTGAAAAACAAGTTACTTTGCCTTAGAATTCCTTTACTCATGTAAAATACTTTAAACTGCCTATTTACCATGTTGGAAGCAGGAGTGGCATCCACTTCCTAAACAACATGCCTCCGGAAGCCCTATGAACTTAGATAAATGTCCGTAGTAGTAGAAGGCTTCAGGCCTTTTGTTCATAGGGTCACCATGAGTCGTGCTCAAAGGCCATCAACAACAACAACAATTTACCAGGAGAGGAAAAGCATCTTTCCTAGATCAGTATTTACCTCTTTGAGACTGCTTTTCTCAGTTATATGTAAATTATATCTTAAACTGTCTGTTTACCAGGAAGGGAAATGCACCTTTCCTGGACTAGCATTTACCTTTACAAAATTGTTTTTGTCAATTATATGTTCACTATTTTATAAGTTTCCTGTTTACTAGTAATGGTGTATGAACTGTTCTTTTTAAATGCAGAAATTCTGTAGTTTTACTAACAAAGAAAGGTACTTAACCTAAGAATAAAAACTAATGATCACTGGGGGGGGGGGGGGTAGTTTTTGAGAAAAATTCTCTCTGTCCTCCAAGATCTGCAATAAAGGGTTGAAAAGGACTATGAAAAGAATCCCTTGGGTTCTGTAGCAGTCTCATTTCATATATAGTCTATAAAACTTATGGAAATTTCATGATTTCATGATAGGCTTGTGTTAGCTTGGTTTAAGAGATAAAAAACAAAAACTAGAGACTCAGTGAGGTAATGTCACATATGAAAAGGTTCATAATATGAAATTCAAGCTGAGAGCTAGCTGGCTTCAAAATGGACACATTTTTGTCATGCTCTGTCACAAGCTAGTTGTCTTCTATGGGAGAATCATTGTTTTACCCATTTCCTCTAAATCTTACATTGTGTAGACCAAGTATCCAGTTAGAAAGGAATAAAGATAAATAGTTTCCTCCTGTGTGATTTACAGCCTCAGAAAACCCACTAGAGGGTTAACTATGAGTTGGTTCTGACTGGTTAGCGATGAGTTGAGTTGATATAGTACATATTATATACTATATATTATAAATATGCATAAATATAAAATGAACTGAATTTTAACATGTATACTATTTCTGTGCGTGTGTCTAAATTTTTAATTAATTTTAATGAACATTTACCAAATTTTGTATTTCCATTCATTCATTGTTGCACTTTTCTCCCTCCCAACTACCCCCCTCCTCAGTTCACGCCTCTCTTTGAAAAGTAAAAGTAAAATTCCTTCATTGATATACAGTTCCCCCCTACCCCTTGCCCCAAGTACACTCCACTATGCAACCTTCATTCTGGACTCTTGTGATAACTATGATACCCTATCATATATCGTTTTTAAACTGTTCTCTCCCTCATTTGTTTCAATGCATGTATACTATTTTATATACATAATTATTAAAAACCATTTATGAATAAATTCTATAAATAAACAAGCAAGAAATAGCCACTGATAAAATTTTAAGAAACATCCCACATCCAAACTCACTCCTGCCTTTACTGTTGAGTCAGTTCTGACTCAGCGCTACTTCACCCACAACTGCCCACTGGGTTTCAAAGGCTGTAAACTTTTATGGAAGCTGACCGCCACATCTTTCTCCTGAGGCGCAGCTATGAAGTTCAAACCGTTGACCTTTTGGCTAGCAGCCAAGCCCTTAACCATTGCACCACCAAGGCTCCTACCTACTAATACAGAAACTACAGTTTAAATCAATACAATGATTCCTTCTCAGTGCTAAGGAATTATGCTGCCAAGAGGAAGGTACAGAGTTTGAATCCATCAGCTGCACCACAGAAGTAAGATGGACTCTCTTTTCATCTGATTTACTGCTTCTGAAAACTTGTGAGAGGGTCAGCCCTGGACCAATTTCCACTTGATGGTATATAACCACAGCACAGTTATGGAGTAAACTAAGGTACAACGCATACAGTGAGCCTGGTTCCAAGACTATGAACTTTTGGGAAATAATTTCAAGCTTTGAAAGAGAGCCGCTACCTGTACTTCATCATCATTTTCCCTAAGCCAGCTTGGACGAGGGCGAGGATGATCAGGAAGGCGAGTCCACAGAAGGCAAAGGCCTGCAGCAGCTCCCAGATGAGTCCCATGAGGAGTGCCACCTGTAACGGAGCGATCCACACAAAATGTGCCAGTGCCAGTCCCTGGAGAACAAAAACACAGCAAAAAAACAGGGGCCTTTTATCCTCCAACCCCCCAAAATATGCAAATAGGCACACACAGAAGAATAATAAGAGAAAGAGGGAGTGGATCCATTTAGAGGGCAAAGCACATTAAAAACAGGGTGTTTACCAGATCATCATTCCAAACTGAGGATTCTCACTTCCCTCTTCACTGCTGCAGCCCAAGTTCACAGCCATTGAGCTGTACATGTTCACATGAAGTATTAAGTAAATCAATGAGTCAATAAATATGTATTCAGACATTTTCTAGCTTCAGAAGCTATTACTGAGGACAGAGCCATTATTTGCCTCATTGTTATCTCTGTTCAACTTATTCTGAATATGAAATGATCCCCCAAATCATTGCCATTAAGGAGATTCTGACTCATGGTGACCCCGTGTGACACAGAGCAGAGCTGTTCCATTGGCTTTATTGACTGTACTCTTTACAGAGATTAAAATGGTCAGCTGTTCATGAAAACGTCAAATGTTCAAACCCACCAGCCGTTATTGCCCCCGAGAATGACGTGGCAGTGTGCCTCCATAAAGCTTTGCAGCCTGACAAGCTCTATGGGACAGTTTACTTTATAGGGTTGAAATGAACTTGACAGCAGTTTGCTTTGCTTTGTTCTTTTGCTTGTTGTTTGTTTTTCTGGTTTTCATCTGTACAGAACCTAGATATTCCTCACTCCTACACACCAGCAGAGAATGTCTTAAAATCTCCAGTGTTTTAAAATCTCTAATAAAAATTTCCAGTCAAATTTTTGTAAAAGTCCAAGAGTTCATTAGATGAAACACATCATAACATGTGGATACATTCTACAGATAGGCTAAGATTCTCCAAGGAATACACCTTAGCTCAGTGTATTCATAGAACATGTGTAAGTATTTATTCAGTAAAACTGAGTTAGGATGCTTTAGGTATTGTTTTGAGAATATCTTCAGTGACTTTATACTATTTGAATAAGACAAAAATAGTACAGAACATATGTTATAAAGGAAAGAGGGTCCCCAGAAAGGGGGAAAGAGGTTCCTCAAAATAAACCAACTCTGCAATCCTGATGACATCTGATAGAACTATCCAGAATAAATGCATGCTCAGGTCAACAATAATTTTTTTTAATTCTCTAGCTGGTACTAGAGAAACTACTAATACCATGTCAAATACTGGGAATTCAAAGATAAATAAAGTACATTGTCTGTCCTCAAGGACCTTGCATTTATGTGTGACACTAGACAGCACTGAACCAGAATTTCTCAGAGTATCATATTCAGCCAAAGTAAATAAGTGACTTAAAGGAAACAAGGTCTCACACAGATTCAGCTTTGAGAAACTTGACTAAATACACAGCCTGAGGCATGTCTGATTGGGTGGTCCCACTTGACCCCCAAATAGACAATTTGACTTTCTCAGTTTCAGAAATAGAAGGATGGTAGGGATGGGTATAGCTTCAGATTATCCACCTACTGCTTGGTTGAGTAACCAAGGTAAAGGGTGCACTGGAATTTATGATTTATAAAATCAATGACCAAAAGATTAAGTTGATAGATACATACTTCATCAAATTTGTTCAGGTTGTTGGAAAGGAGACTGACAAGTTGTCCAATACTTATTTTATCTAGAACACGGCTTGACAGTTTTAATGTCTAAAAGAAAAACGAGAAGTTAGAAGACATCAATAAACAAAAGACAAGCATTTTTAAGTAATGTTGTAATACAGCAGTGAAATTAGGTTACTATACAGGCATTATTACTACATAAAGCTAATAAAAATTATTTTATGTCTGTCTACTTTAGTATCTTCTTGGGTTTATAAATATCCCTTTTCACAGAATGTATTATACTGGCATGACTCATGCATCTGCTTTCTTTTCCAGGATCTAGAGAGTTATACATAATTTCTCTCTGTTACAATTGTAGTTATATTATTCTTAAATATTCATCTCACAGTTGTATTTTTGTGAGGATTTTTGCCATTTTGCTTTACTGAGAGCTGAAACAAAAACATACAAAAGGAAAACTTTGGCCTTAAATTCTTTGTGCAGTTCTCTACAGATTTTCTTTAATAAAATTACTGTTAGAATAAAAACAAAGTCTACTATGAATAACTGAATCATTAATAATCTAGTAGCAAGTATATTATACTGCAAAATCTTTAAGTTTTATAAAGAAAAAGGCAACCATAGAAGTAGAATTAATTATAAAGTCAATAATTTAATCATGACTAATAGATTACAACAATACCTTAACTGTAAAATTTAATTAGAATTGATTTGCCACTAGACAACATTGGAAAGTGTCCATTTCATAGTTTTTCAAGTCAATCCCTTAAGCATTTACTTATCACTCAGTAGTTGTAAATCGCTTTGCTCAATGCTTCAGAGATTGTTATGAATATGTATACTAACTTAATTCCTGCCTCCAGGTAATCTAGTACATAGATAATTATAATATGATAAGACAAATGAGTCAAAGGAAACACAAAGTAATATGACGGTTAATAAAAAGGTTACACATCTAGCTAGAAAAAACTGGAAATATTTCTTTGAAGAGGTGTAACTAGAGAATGAATCTGGAATGAATAAAGTTTAGGTAAACAAAGATGGAGGAGGAAGGAAAGTAGTTAATCCTAAAACATGATCAGAGCAATCTGAAGCTGAAAAAAGCTCTCCATCTGGATTGAACGTGGTTTAGTAGTAAGTAGGCTGGTGTGAGTGACTCTGAGTTCCCTATGTGGCTTAATCTAGATCTGTAGCGATAAGTAAGTAAGCATTCAGTAATTATTCGTCAGCTTTATTTATCGGTATTCTTGAGATTTGTAGGCAAAGCTACACCCAGTTTGTGTATAGATTCACCATTTAAAGTGAATCATAAAGGTATCATAGTCACCAGACTTGGGAACAAAATAAAACATGTTCTATTACAAAATTTGAAACACTGTGAGGGTTAGAGATAGCTTTCAAGAAAATGAAGCTGATTAGACATGAAAATTGACAAGATCTAAGAAGAGCTAAGAAAGATTCGCTTTAGAGAGAAGAAAGATTTGTACAGCACCATGTGGTGATGAGGGACAGTAAGTGAAAGCAAAGAGGTTCAATAAAATAGACAAGAATGCACATTCAAGTTTGAAAAGGAACAACAGATATGATAGGCCTAATTTTCATCAATGCTTTCTTGATCTAAAAGCATAAATATTTCTATATGTAAGCTAAGAGAGCATGGTGCTGTGTATGTGGGTGTTGTGTTGTGTTGTGTTGTGTTGTGGCGGTCTCTGGAGAAAGGCGACTCTGCCTCTAGGAGCCAGGGAAGCCACGCTTGGCCTTGGGTTGAAGGCAGCAGTGGCTTCAAGCCAAAAAAGGAGAAGAGGAGGGAGGAGACTGCCATAATCGCCCAGGTTTGCTCCACCCAGGGTGGCTGTGATCCTTTGGCCAGAGAGCATGGTGCTGTGTACGTAGGTGTGGTGTTGTGTTGTGTTGTGACAGTCTCTGGAGAAAGGTGGCTCTGCCTCCAGGAGCCAGGGAAGCCACGCTTGGCCTTGGGTTGGAGGCAGCAGTGGCTTCAAGCCAAAAAGGGCCCTTGGGCCTGTGGCCCTCAGGCCATTCTTTCATTGTTTTTGTTCAGACATTCCTCTAGGTCGTACAGCCCTGGTGTACAAGTTGCCATCCTGCGGTCACTTGTGGTTGCTGTGAGACTGAACACTGTGACACGAATGTGTCAAATGCGTTAATGGCTGGCTACCCAATGTGGACTGAGAGTGGGGTGGAGCTCCCCGATTAAACAAGTTTGGAAGGAGGAGTGGCATCCACTTCCATAATAGCTTGCCTCCGGAAACCCTATGAACCTGGAGAGAGGATGAAAGACACCCAAGTGTCTAGGACTCTGCTTCATAGGGTCGCTATGAGTCGCTTGCGACTTGATGACACTTAAAAACAACACATATGTGAGCTAAATCATTATACAGAGACAGATCTAAAAACCAATCTGTGTTTTATTTAATGTTATCTTCCTTTTGGCTTAAAATATTCCACTCCTCTCTTTCTTGGTAGCTGTTTACCTTTATTAAGGTTGTCTGAGCATTCATTTTCTCTTTTTACCCATGTTAATTGGAAAATGTGCCATTTCAGGGGCTGTGTTTCACCTATTTTCAGATGTTCTAAAGTAATTTTTTCACAAGTTTCTTTACTTTTTAGACTTTTTTGTGAAATATTGTTGTTGTTGTTGTTATGTGCTGTCGAGTTGCCTGCAATTCATACCAACCCTATGTACTACAGCCCTAAACCCTGCTCTATCCTGTGCCAATCTCACTGTCTTAGACACACCTACCCCCATTACCCCAGTCACTGAATCAATCCACCTCATAGAAGGCCTTCCTCTCCTGTGCTGTCCCTCCACCCTCCCAAGCATGACATCTCTCTCCAAGCACTGCTCCCTCCTTGCAACACGTCCAAAGTATGTCAGATGAAGCTTCAGCATCCTTGCCTCCAAGGATCAGTCTGGTTTCACCCTCTCCTGTTTGTTTTCTTAGCAGTCCATGGTATATTCTATACTCTTCTCCAACATCACAGCTCAAAGGCATCAATGCTCCTTCTATCCTCCCTAGTCATTGTCCAGCTCTCTGATACATTGCAAGTGATTGCAAAGACCAAGGCCTTAGTATCTAGAGTGACACCATCACTGCTCAGTGCTTTGGAGAGGTCCCTAACAGCAGACTTTCCCATCTTTTAATTTCCTGGCTGCTGGTGTCAAGAGTGTTGACTGTGGAGCCAAGCAAACTAAAGCTGTTAACAATCTCAATCTTATAAAATCCATAGTCATGGAATCATAGCAACTCTATAGAATAGAGCAGAACTTCCTCATAGGGTCTCCAAGGCTAGAGTCTCTAAAGGAGCAGACTGCCATATGTTTGTCTCACAAAAGGTGTCTCCAACCACTAATCTTCAAGGTTACAGCCAAACTCTTAACCACTGAGCCATGGCAGTTCTTTAATGGGTGATAATACCAACTATCACACAGAATTTGAGGGAAGATCAGAAAACAAACCTGAACCACTTAGATGCATATTGTGCATATTATTAGCTATTAGTGTTTTCCTTACAGTGAGCACTTTCTAGAAATCCTTCATGATAGCAAATGTTCATGGATACACTGTGACTAGTCTACTTTCCAAATTAGATCTAATCCTCTCATTCAGAAATTTCCAAACATGTTTGGATCAAAGAAACTTTTGTTTACTTACTAGTCATGTTTTCCTGATAACTGTGCATTGCTGAAACTACGGCTGATTTTATTAAATTATAGACCCCACTTTTTTTTTGTCTGCCTGTATAAAATTCTTTTCTGACCAATAAAATAAGGCTATTAAAGTTTTATAGTATAACTGACCTTGCATGTACCTGAGATAGAAGTCTTGTGTGTTATCTACTAAAGGTGGTTTTCAGCTCCAATGTCCTTAAATGTCATATGCATAAAGTTTTAACATTGAGGAAATTTAAAAAAAGGAACAAGCATTATCCAAAGTATTACTTCAATGGCTTTTCATAATCACTTGGTAGATCTAAAAGGTTACATGTCGACTTATAACACATCAGGTCAGAGGAAGCCAACATGACTGAAATGAGTTTAAATTCTGTTTGTTGGGTAACCAAATTTTTGGCTGATTTCTCCTGAATCACGAAGTCACTTTAATAACTTAGTCTGCTGCCAATACATACCAAAAAAAGTGGAGTAGGTTCCTATGGCTGAAGCATATATGCACAGCATGACAAAAAGTATCTACAAATAAGAGGAGATATCATACTCCATCACAACTAGGAAACAGAAAATTTTAATTGCTAGGGTTATCGTTATTGTGTATCATTGAGTCGGAACTGACACATAACTGACTCTCTAATGGGTTTTCAGAGACAGGAGATTGTCCATCCTTCTCCCGGGAAGCAGTTGGTGGATTTGAACCATGTACCTTTGAGATTACAGTGCAGTTTATCACCACTAATTGCATATTAACTCTTTTCTGACATGGCATTTTACTAGGAGATGGTGTTTCATGAGGCTGAGACTTTTAATGAGAAATGATGGATCCCTCAAAATAATAGTATAACCAGTGCAGGAGGGGAAGACCCTCTATGAGGTGAATTGATTCAGTGACTGGGGTAATCCAGATGGATGTGTCAGAGGCAGTGCGATTGGCACAGGACAGAGCAGAGTTTAGGGCTTTTGTACATAGGGTCGCTACGAGTCACAGGTAACTCGACAGCACATACAACAACAACAGTAATTAAAACAAAGAAACTACAACATAGCAACTGTATAGGAAGTGCTCAATCATTATTGGCTAACATAATCTTGCATATCAAGAAAAAGTAGAAAGATTACTTGTTCCATCCATTTATTTCAGACATTGGTTATTAAATTGATTTCAGTTTCTGTTGCTCCCATTACCACCTTATCCATGAGGGCAAGGAAGGATCATTACCTTCTTATAAATCAAGCTAAACATTGCTATTCTCATCTGCATGCCGATGTGATGGAGGCCAAAGATGGCGGGGTGTAGGAGTAGCGTCCTCACCACGAAGAGAAGACACAAGCCAACACCCAGGTAAATGGCAATGGAGCGCTCTTCCCTGTTATCCGGATCATAAGAAGCTATGATTCTTCCGAGTAAGAGGGGCTGGACTGCTTTGGTGACTTCCTGCAAAAATAGAAAAAGACAGGGCTTGGAAGTTTTACTTCCCTCTTATAAAATAGCCAATGATCTCAAAACAAAGTTTCATCTTAAGTTGTTGTTAGCTGTCATCAAACTGGTTCCATTTCACAAGGACACATGTGTGTGATGTGAAACTGTCCCACAGGAGTTTCAAGAATTTAACATTTAGGAAGCATACCACTCACCTCTATAGTGGGATTTTTAAAATATTTTTTATTTATTTTCATATAATAACATCTTTACAGTATGTTTCATTCATATACATTGTCTTATATAATCTTTCATTTGCATTGTGTTTCATACAATAATTTATATATGTCCTATTTTACATTATTTTTTTATACTAGTTTATTTGTAAAATTTGAGTACATTGTTCTTCACACCAGATCCTTTCCATTTTATAGCTGGATTTCAAAATGAACTTAGAAAGAAATGTTACGCCTGATACTCTTGATGTTATTTTTTCCACAGCTGGTTATTTTATCTTTTTTTAAAAAATAAAATTTTTATTTTCTACCAGTTTCCTTATAAAGTTTGTATACATTGTTTTTCACACTGGATGCTTCCCATTTCCTTTACCCACCCCTCCCTCCACCTACCAAATTGTGGACCTTATCATTAACACACACACCCCATCCTCACCCCTGGATATTTTTAATATTCTGGATACTAGGGTTGGCAGCACAGGTCCTTACTATTACGCCACCAGAGCTAAATTGTCTTGGAGTCAGTTCTGACTCCGGGTCACCCTATAGGACAGGTAGATCTGCCCCATGGGATTCCCAATGTTATAAATCTCTTCTGTAAAAAAAAACACAAAACACCTAACGCTGCTTCTGCAAAGCACAGAAGCAGACTGCTACATCTTTCTCATACAGAACAGCTGGAAGGCTTGAAGTGCCAGCCTCTGAGTTAGCAGCATGAAGTCTCGACAGCACCAAGTCTCCTGCAAGGCTGTAAGTCTTTATGGAAGAAGACCCTCTCATCTTTTGCAGGGAGGTTGGTGGGTTCAAACAGCACCTGCAGAGCTTCTCTAAAAATGAAGCTATTAAATAGCGATGATAAAGTAAAGGCCTGGGTTTTGGAGTCACTTATTAACTCTTAACATCCCTTTGGCACTTTGATTTCCATGACAACATTAGCAATTAAAGTAGGCATTATTAATTCTGATTTTGCAAATGAAAAAGCCAAATCCAGAGGTCACAGAGGCAAAGCAAGGTGAGTTGATACACCTTCAAAGTAGGGCTTTCAGAGCCATTTAGAGCAGCAGTAGTAGTGTTATTCCCAGGATGCACATTGCTTCCAAAGGCAAGAAGTGCTGGCAATAGGAAGGGAGAAGCCAGCCCACCAAGCTGTTTTGTTAGTTTGGGTGATGCCAACTCAGCGCTAAGTTTAACCAAACAAAATCTTGCCCAATCATCTACCATTCTCACAATCTCTGCTGTGCTTAAAACCACAACTCTAGTCATTTTTTCAATCTGTCTAACTGAGAGTCTTCCTCCCTTTCAACAACCATCTACTTTTCCAAGTATGTTGTCCATAATTATTCAGGCATTGGACCCTGTTGATAACATATTCAAAGTATGTGACACACCAGCTACTTCGACCTCTGCCACCATGGAGAAAGGGAGTAAGCGAGAAAGGAGCCCACCTCACCTGCCACCCATGTCCTCCAGCTGCGCCTCCAAAGAGTTTAAGATGTTTGCCTGCGCCAGTCTCACCTGCACCCCAGCTCTGATACGAGCTGGATGAAGGGCTGCATGTAGACCAATTACTGCATCAGTGTTCTCGCGACCAGAAGCTAGAAGGACTCAGCAGTGTTGAGTGGGGCTCAGAACAGTGTGTCTCCACTAATTCAAAGGGAGTTTCAAACCAGTGCAATCAGCAGAGACATTGGTTGATACTGCTGCCAAATTTATTGGTGCAGGAGCTGCAGCAGTAAGAGTGGCTGGTGCTGGTGTTGGGACTGTCTTTGGCTGCCTCAGCATTGGCTGTGCCAGAAACCCTTCATTGAAGTGGCAGCTGTGCTCAGACGCTCTCCTGGGATTTGCCTTGTCTGAAGCTATGGTTCTCTTTTATTTGATGGTTGCTTTTTAAATTTTGTTTGCCATGTAAGTGAAATAACTGCTAGAGATATTGGCAGTCATATTAATTATGGAATTGGTAGAATTCTGTGTATCTTACTGTGACTCCTGAAATTGTAGTTGCGGTGTCGTGAAAATGTACATTTTTTCCAAAGTCATTTCATTAAAGGTGAAAACTTTAAAAAAAAAAAACACCAATAAAGTATGTGAGACAAAGTCTCACCATCCTTGCTTTTAGCAAACAGGCTGATTATACATTTTCTAAGATAACATTTTGTTCTTTTGGCAGTTAATGTTTACTTAGTACTCTTTGCCAATATCACAATTCAAAAGCATCCATCCTTCTTTGATATTCATTGTTCACTTTTCACATGTATAGAAAGTAACCGAAACTACCATGGCATAGGTCAGGTTCACATTAGTCTTTAAAATGCTTTGACATTTAAAGATAGTCACTTCCACTACTAATACTTTCCTAATCTAAAATGGGAACAAACTTCAAAGGAGGAGGCTGCCAGCCAACTTCACCCTCAGGTCCGTTTCCAATGACTCATCAACTGCTCTGTATCTGTGAGTCAGCAAAGGAGGGTCAGAGTTGTGTTTTGTAGTTTATCGATCAATGTCCTTAACTGACCATTCATCCCTATATGGTGAGCTGCACTGCTTGCCCAAATGTGGCACTTCATGGAGCATCAAGAAGAAAGCCAGGCAATCTCATCCTGTGTGATTTACAGCCTCTGAAAACTCACAGGGGACTCAGCCATGAGTTGGTTCCAACTCAAAGACAATGAGCTTGTGTGGATTCATCGCTATTCTCTATCAGACACATGACTATTCCTCCTGAACTCAGAGGTTTGAACCCAGATCGTTGAACTTTCACACATCTTATTAAATTGCCTTCAAAAGGAAAGAAGAAGTAAAGGAGGGTTTGAATGCTAAACCTTCAAGAGAAATGATGTTACACTGATTGGCTCCATCCCAAATTCACATATTCAAGCTTGGTTGGGCTCCCCAAAATTGTTCAGCAACTCTCTCCTCAATCTGCCTTTCCAATTCCTTAGATTATGTTTTCTAAACCTCAAGTGCCCAAAAACACCAGCCTTCCCATTCTCAAGAGATGACTATGATTTTCCTCTGTTTTATCTCCTCATATCCTCACAAAGGATCTTAGCCTGCTGTCATCAAGCCAGTTTGGACACAAGGTGGTCGGTCACAGGTATGTCAGAGGAGAATTGTGGTCTACAAGGGATTTCAGCAGCTGACTTTTCAGAAAGAGATCTCTAAGCACATCTACCTGCTTTGTACAGATGTTCATTCAATATCTGAAACTTACACAGTACCTCACTTCAAATTAACTTTGTATACCAACATAATGATAAGATTTAAAGTTTTTTAAAAGTTTCAAACTGGTGGCAAAAAAAAGGATATTATAACTCTTTTGACTCACAATAGCCATATTCTAAATACAATAATTTTAAAACCCTGACAAGTACAAAAAAATAAAACCTCTTTCACCTGACCCCCCACAAAAAATTGTGATAATATACCTTAAATGCCAAATACTGGCTTTAAAAATAAGTAGCGCATATTGTATGCATATCAATATAAAATAAATAGTGCAGAAAGTACTACTTGAGCAAATTCATCATCTCACACATGCCCTGTGCTCTGATTGTTGTTGTTGTTATTTAATGCCATCGAGTCGTAGACGACTCATAGCAACCCTATGAATGAACAGCCTGATCACTGTTCGTACAGAGTTTCCGGAGGCAAGCCATTTCGGAAGTGGATGCCTCTCCTGCTTCCAGGCTTAATTTAGTCGGGAAGCTCCAGCCAACACTGTCCACCATGGGTGCCCATTACCACGACTGGCATATCACAGTCACAGTGTTCAGCATCACAGCAACCACGAGTTACCTCTGTACAGCAACGTGCTCTGATTACATGTACATTTATCCTTAGAATACAAACAACTGTTTTTTAAGTTTTAAATCTTATATAATGGCTACCATAACATGCTTTTATCTGCTTTCTTTATGCTTAAAATTGTATGTATGATGTTTCGCCCCTACTGCATGTGTACAGCCTCATTTACTTGTTTAACACTCTGCATCATACGAATGAGCTCTGGTGGCTTAGTGGGTAGGTAGGGAGGTGCCCTGCTAACCCAAAGGTGACCAGCACGTCTCTGACAGTTTGAATCCACCAGTCGCTCCACAGAAGAAAAACGGGCAATATCCTCCTGCGTGATTTACAGTCTCTGAAAACCTGCTGGAGGATCAGCTAAGAGTTCGTTGTGGGTCTATGGCAATGAGAGAAAGAGAAGTCATATGAATGATCTGGTTATTTGCCCATTGCCCTACTTTGGGGTAAAATGGTTGTTGCCACATATACTAAATTGTTGCTTAGTTGCAATCTATTTTGGGGGGGGGCGGAGTAAGATCTGCATTAATCTAACTGAGCTACTTGTATTATAGAGCGGTATTGTTGTAGTCTTGTTCAAACCAATGAGGACATTGCACCTAGCATTTGAACAACAGTTGCCTTTTAATGAAGATATTTGTAATACTCTCTGGGTGGGCACATATGCACTGGGAGGAAAAAGAAGGTATCTTTTTGGTAGAGAACTATCTAATAATATCATCTGCAAACAACAAATTCATATCAACATCACCACAATACAGAACGGTTATGACTCAAGGACAAAATCACCACCGTAACAACTCCCTCTTGTACGGTTCTCACTAATCTGTCTTAAGCAGCATGTCCTTCTAATATTTACAATGGAACCATTTACAGGTATCACCTGATTTTTTATTCAGAAGAGGAAAACAATGGTAACTGATACCTAGACTAATCTATGAAGGACAGTCCTTTGGGAAAAAAAAAAAAACCAACCAC